ATCAGGAATCGGCATCCCCCTTGTTCATTTTGTATCCCCAGAACAGTTTGTGAAGACCTTCTAGGCTTTCATCTTGGCAGTTGCCTCTAGAGCCCCTATATTTAACCATGAGGGTTCATGTCCTCCCATGCTGTCCTCAAGCTTAGTCGTGGCGATTTGGAGATCTGTGCCGCTGTGGTGTCTGCTGTCATCACCAAGCCTTGGCTCCCAGCAAAGGGGGTAGAACAGAGAACTGTGGGTTCAGAGTGTAAGGTGGTGTTTCTTGTCTGTGAAGTGAGTGAACACCAATGCACAGGGTTTGGGGGAGCATTAAGTGAGGTGGCAGATGTCAAGAGAGTCCCTTCTCTGAGGGGGCTGCATAATCTCTAGACTGAAGCACACAGGGCTATCTGTCCCCAAGGGGGTAGGCCCCAGGCCCAGCTGTCTGAGCCCTGACAGGCTGATGTTGTCACCCCAAAACCTCTAGAGCCCGTAGTCTCTCCCTGGGGACCACCAAAGCAAAAAAGAAAGCTCCCTCCACCTAGCCAACGTGTTTCAGCAATACCACCAGGCCGCAGAAGAGAGGCTGATGTCCATGTGTCCCGCATTCCTAACCCTGAGCCTCCTAAGGGCTGACCCAAGCTTCATGCGGTTCTTCAGATGGGATCTGAGTTCCGTTCCGTGGCCTCAAAGCACTTAGTCCAGAAAGTGCAAACTCAGAAGGCAGGTAGGCAGTGTCAATGAGGCAGGTGGGCTGGGCGTGAGAGGGTAAGGAGTGGTGGGGACTGTGGTAAAGTGGACAGAGCAGCTGCCAATCAGCTCCAGCCTGGGTGGCCAGGCAGGGCTGTGGCTTCATCTTCTGATCTTTTAAGAGTAGTAAAATGAAACTGCCTAGTTTAACAACACCGATAACTAAATAAACGCTTTTAAATCACTGCAGGAGTCAACAATCCACCACACCTGCTCCCTGCCTCAGTAGGAAGGCAGTTTGTCACTAACCTGCCATAAACTAGGCCATAAATATTTGAGGATCAATTGATTAAATTCGACCCTTTCCAGGTCTTAGGGAAGTGCTGTGATCAGAACCAGGCTCTTGCTCCTTAAGCATCTTTTTGCTTACAGATGAGGAAGCTCAGAGAGAGGAAGTAACTTGCACAAGGTCACACAGGTAGTATATCAACAGGTCACGACCCTAAACTCTGCTCTCCTGAGTTGAAGATCTTTTTCTACCAACCCACACTATCCGCATCCTCTCCTGAACAATTCCTTCTTTTCAAAAAGTTGAATGTGCTATGGAAAGGATACACACCCAGTTCAAGACAGTGAGTATTTGGGGGAAGTCATGGAGCTCAGAGCCAGGAGACTGAATTTCCAGTCCAACTCTGCCCTAAGCAACTGGGTGACCCTGGGCCAGCCCCTCCCCCACGAGGGCCTCATTCCCCCAGGTCTGCAAGGCAGCCAATTGACAGAGCCAGCCTTCTCGCTCTGAAATTCTAGGCATCCATGAGCTCTCCTCTCTGGTCAGTCTTTCGTGGCCTCAGATGAACATAAAATAGTAATAATAATAATAATAATGGGGAAGGAAAGTCCACACTAGCCAGGAAGGAACACTACAATTTTTAGTGAAACCTGACTCTCGGTTACTGGAATTCAGAAGGAACGATGGTAATACTGGGGCAGTTTAACCACCATCCTGCAGTTAAACAATAACACATCTGGTTTAACTTCATTTTCCTCATCTCCTCCCCCCACCCCCTACCCTCATCTCGAATTTTACCCCTTAATTTGAGAAGTCAAATTAAATGCAAACAATTGATTTCATGCCACAGTGAGGTTGAGAATTTCAGCATGGAAAACTTTAAGCATAAAGTTTTTCTGGGAGTAATTAGGAAATGTTGGGGGGTGGTATGGGGAGTTGGAAAAATATGGAGACTATTCTTGAATGTTCTTAAGACACTAAGCATCATATTAAAGTTGTTGAGGACCTACTAGGAACTTAACACTCAGAGAGGTAAAGTGACTTGCCTCAGGTCACACAGCTAGGACTGGAATGCTGACCCCAAAGTCAGATTTACCCTGCTCTCTACCTAGGCCTTTGTAACCCAAACAGGGCCTTCTCTCTGGCCTTTGTGCATCACCTGGTAACGGTTAGGGAAATGCTGCTAAAACTAGGACTATTATTAACGTCTCAATAGCAATCGTCAACACTGGTTCAGCCCGGTGTTGAAAAACCAGTTATGATCGTGCTGGCCCCTCACAGCAACTCCACAAAGTACAGGTTGCTAACCTATATATTATTCCTCATCTAAGGCTCAGAATGGGAAAATGACTTGTCCAGGATCATACAGCAGTGCTGGGAATGAACCTCCAATCTACTGCCCACAGCTGTCCTTTAAAAGTGAGGACATCTCTAGAAGAGGAAAAAAAACAAAAACAAAAACATACAGCGCTACCTAGCTCCACCCCCGCCATCCTCACCCCACCCCCACCTCCCCGGGAGCTGAGTCAGCATTCCTGTGGCCACACAGAGATTTCTGACCCATGGTTCTCAGCCCAGCTTGCTTACTTTCTCCGCAATGTTCTCTTCGAGCTTTGGGGTTGGTATTAACAATTCCAATTTCTATTTCAAGGTGAAAACTCCAGGTTATGCCACTGGATCTTACCCCTGGATTAAGAGGCCTCATCCCCAGAGAGGGATACTATATGAAGAACGCTAGACTTGGAATTCTAGACACCGGGGCTCCATCCAGCCCTAGCTACCCAAGTAGCATGCGTACCTTGGACAAGTTGCTTCTCTCCAAGACCCATTCCTTTACTTGTAAAGTTAGGACTACATCTAGGTTGCAGGGGATGTTGGGTGTGTAAGCTGCAAGACAAGCAGGGCTTGAGTTTAGGTTTGCCCCACTTCCAAGCATCTGAGTGTGGGCAAGGGGGACACCAGGCAACCCTACAGTACAGCCCATCAAGGAATGAGCAGAGCCTAGACGAAGGTGGGTAACGAAGGGGCAGTGACATAACCCTACACCCAGTCTCAGCATTGCATTTTTCTGGCGAGATTAGGGCTGATGACAGCCAATATTTTCTTAAGCACAGGTGCCAGCTAAACCCTTCATGTGTATCAATCTAGACCTCAAATAGCAGGTAGGTGCTATTTATTGATCTCCTCAGCCTAAAGGGAACAGAACTCATTCCAGGCCACACAGCTAGGTCACCTTCTCTATTAGTGAGGACCAAATGTTGGCAGATCAATTTTGCACGTTATTGCATTTTAATCTCCTTCCCTGTGAATCGCTTGATTCCAATTCTAAAATGTCAATTTCAGAGCGTGAAAAAAGTTTGTCGATGCGAATGTTGGAATGCCTGCTCCGGAAAGAAGGTATTTGTCTGTTTAAGTTACTGCTGTATTCCCAGCACGGATAACAGGGCTAGACAGTGAGAAATGAAGATAGCACTCATTTCTGACTTCAGTTCAGTTTTATTCCTCAGAATAATCTTATGGGAGAGGTATACTCCCCATTTTACAGGTGGGGCCACCGACACAGACACCCAAGCCTGTCTCACTTCAGGGGCTGAGGAGTTGGGAAGCTGTGTTCAGGGGCCTCTTCTGCTTAGGGAATTCAGAGGCGTGGAGTTCAGGAGGGGAAAAGGAAGCAGAGGGACAGGGAGAGGGAGTGGACAGGCAGGTGGGAAAGACTAAAGATTTGAAGGAGGCCAGTCTGGAGGATGGGGGGAGGCAGAACTGAGCCCTGGAAAGACAAGAAGGAGGAACCAAGGCTCAGCCCCTCATCCCTTTGGGTAGTAAAGTAGAAATAGGAGGCTAAGGCTGTAGGATTGGGAGTCTGGGTTCAAATCCTTGTCTCTATTTACCTAATTTCTTTACTTCTTAACTTCTCTAAGCCTCGCTTCTCCATTTGTAAACAATACGGTGCAAGAGAACTGTTGGAGAGGGACTGGCACACAGTAGGGACTCAATCAACAGTTGCAGTCATCCTCACCCGGGCGAGAGCCAACCCCTGCCTCCCAGGGAAGTCCTGTGCACCTGCGGAGTCCGAGCTTCCTGCCCTCCCTCCCCCCACGCCGGACCCGAAGGCCTTTTCTGTCCTGAGAATCGTCCTGACTTTGGATCGTCAGGATCTTTCCCCTCCGCCAGCCCCACTGAGTATTGAAAGGGGGTCAGAAGGCGACAACGTCCGGGAAGGCTGGGGCTTTCCTCAGCTTCCCACCTCACCATGGTCGACCATGCGTTTAACCCTTTCCTCCCAAGGCTGGGCACAGCAACCAGCCCTGGGCAACTCACTCACCTGTACACGCCCAGAGATGGGTTGCAGGCTCCCTGGGCTTCGGGGGTTCCAGAGCTTTGCCCCATGGCTGCTGTGCCCACCCCGACTCCCAAAAAGACATCGACACGCCGGATGTTCCCTTTCTCCTCCCCCAGCGGATCCTGGACTCAAGCGCCTCCCTCCCTCTACTGCTCTCAGCTCTGGCCAAACTACTTTAGACCCTACCGGGACAGATCAGCCTCCTCCCCTGGCGGCTGTAGCGAGGTCTGGAGGTTACTAGGTGGGGGACATGGGAGGACGCCAGGCAGGGGGCTGGTGTTGCCAGCCTGAGTCTTTAGATCTCCGATCAAGGGGGCACCATAGGAGCTGCTCAGTTACCGGGCACCCGCGGGAGATGCCTGGACTGAGGGTGGGGGTCCCGAGCAGCGGTCCTGGAGGCCGGAGACCCCAGGACTGCATCGGCGGTCCAGAACCCGGTTCTCTTAGCTCGCGGACTCCGCGGGAGCCACGTCCAACTCCAGCCGACCCAGCGCGGCCGCGGGGAGCCTCGGATGCGCGCGAGTCCCGGAGCGGGACAAGTAGCTGGAAGTCTCGGAGGGCCACCAGGCGCGGAGGTCCCTACTCTGACCTTTATATCCAACCTCGCTGCCATCCCGAGGCAAGTGGAGGATGTGGGAGGGGCCGGGGATCAACCACGTTCCCGGAGGTCCGGAGGAGCCGGGGACAGCGTCGAGTCCTTACCTGCGCAAATTTCGTGGATGAAGGTCTGTTCTGGCACAAGTGACGTGGGGTCAGTATGCTGGAACTGAGGGCGCGGAGTGGCGGGAGCACGATGCTGCCGGGCCCGCTTCCCCCGCCGGCTTATAAAGGCGGCCGC